GAGATGGAAAGAGAACATTGATACAAAGGCCATCTAATCACCTCACTAGTAATAGGGCACTGAGAACGTTATGATGTGTTGGAGAGCTATGAAATTTGTGATAGCTTCTAGAGATGGAAAGATAGCAATAGCACTAACATATATTAGAACATCTTAAAACACAAGCCCATTGTAGGGCCACGATGTAATGTCATTAGTCCAGAGAAAATGCTCATTTTATTCTCCAACTATTAGCAATTAACACAATTATTTTCCAACTATCGTATGCACAAATTTAGGCCTTAAATGGTAACAAAAACTAGCTGAATTCTTGAGGAATTGTTGTGGAAAAAATTGAATGTTACATCATTTACATTTGTGGAATTCCTGAGGAATTCACGTTGAATTATTGAGTTTTTTACTCATGGTCTCCACCACATTGAATGATTTTTATTGAAATAATAAATCTTATCCTTTTTGTGTACAAAACAATAAAAGTAAGTCAATTATATTCTCACATGTTTTGTAATTTTTCATACACAACTCATATAATTGAATAAAAATTAAAACAAGATTCACGAGGGATGCGTTAACATTTGCCTATAAAAGGAGAGAGTCATTCATTTATTTTCTTCACATTTCTAAGTTATAAGTGCACAAAAGATTAAAGTAGTGAAGAAATCGAAGAAGAATTTTAGTGAATAAATCAAAGAAATACATTCGGATAAGTTTACATCTAATCTTCTTCTTTTTTTGATCAAAATAATACTTCATTAGAAAGAGATTAAACCGGATCCGGTACAAAGCTTTTCAGAGAGTTTTTTGCTAAAGAGTCTGCAACTCGATTGTTCTCTCGAGGAGTGAAATGAAAGCTAATTTTGCGAAAAGTAGTAGAAATCTTCAGGATATCATGGAGAATCCCATGGAGCTCTTTTGCCACAAATGTGTTTGGAGACCATTTCCTATGACTTTTCCAAGCTGTGTCTTTAGAAGATCTTTCCCAATACAAATTCCTCTCCACCCATGTGAGGAGTTTGCTGGTGTCGTACTATCCAAAAACGGAGTAGAGTGGCAGTATTTCCCAAGCAGGATTCTAGCAAGGAGGCAATCTGGTTTTGTAAGTATCCGCCAACTTACTTTTGCTAGAAGCGCATCATTGAAGCTTTGTAAATCTCTAAAGCCTAATCCACCTTTTGCCTTTGATTTTGTTAGCTTTCCCCATGATATCCAGCACATCTTCTTTTTCCCGGTGTTTGAATCCCACCAGAACCTAGTCAAGGCGGACTATATGCGCATGTACAAGGAATTTGGCAGCTTAAAACATGTCATTGTATAAGTTGGCATAGCTGAGAGAACAGATTTGAGCATAACTACCTTCCCTGCAGCCGAGAGGAACTTTGATGACCATGTACATGCTTTTTGACGGATTCTATCTATGATTATGTTGAAAGGGTCCTTTTTTTCCCTTCCAAACAGCTCTGGGAGTCCAAGGTACTTCCCTAGCCCTCCTTCCTTTTGAATTCCCAGTTGGTGTTTGACTCTTTCTTTGACAGAGGCTTCTGTTTTCTTTGAGAAAGTGATAGCAGACTTTTGTAGATTTATCTTCTGACCAGAGGCAGATTCATACTGTTTCAGGATTTGTAGAAGTTTCTCGCAGTGCTGGGCTTCGGATTTGCAGAAGAACATGGTATCGTCAGCGAACAGGAGATGATTGAGTCTAGGGCTTTTCTTTCCCACTTTGATTCCAACAAGGCTGCCATCGCGTTGGGCTTTGTTACAGAGACCCGAGAGTACCTCACTGTAGAGGATGAAGATGAAAGGGGACAAAGGATCCCATCTAATCTTCTAATTTATAGTTTATATATAATTTTTTAAAACTATATATGTATGTAAAATTTATATGTGCAATTAATTATATTTTAGTATATCTAATTTGAGTAATAGTATTAATATGTTTAATAAAAAAGCAATAATAAGAAACATGAGATTAATTATCATGGAATAAAAACAAAAGTAAACATGAGTATATGCTTTAAATTGATAATAGAAAACAATTATTGTTTTAAATAAATTGATATTATTTTTTTATTTTTGAATTTGTAAGTATGCGTATATGCTTTATAGATGTTTGAATGAATAATTTGTTTAACTTGTTTTTTTTTTCTTTCTATATTATCAGTTCTTTATTACCAATTATATATAATATAATAGGTCATAGGTATCATTTGAGACATTTTCAAGATGCATCTCCTCCTAGAGGTGAGGAAGAGTTATTTAATCGGTGGCATTCTTCGCTTTGTTCAGTCATCGAACGAACATTTGGAGTATGGAAGAAAAAATGAAGAATTTTATCAGAGTTTCCAAGATACGATGTCGAGACACAAAACAAATTAATCATAACCACTGCTGGATTGCATAACTTCATTCGTCTTTCTCAAATTCCTGATTTTGATTTTGATGATGCTTTGCATACTAATGCAATTCCAGGAGAACAAGTTCATACCAACGAGGACCAAGGGCGGACCCACGTTCACAATTAGGAGGTCAAGTGACCTGGTTAAATTTGCAAATCCTTAAGTAATTTTCAGCAAAATTATTAATTGACCCTTGTTAAAAAAAAATTTCCACTTTCCGTTTCACTTCAGAGGAAAAAGCATTCATTCTTTGTTTTTTTTTTGGTAATTATTAATGACAATTGTAACATTTAATGCAAAAATAAGCCAAAACATTAAACAAATTAATCATGTTTCCATTTTTATATGGAGTATTTAATTTATTATGGTATAGTTTTTGTTGACGATGCAATTTTTATTAAATGTGAATAATTATTAGTTAGTAATTAACAAAAATTAATTTCTTTCATCTCATTCTCATATAACTTCAAATTTATTAGATATTTTACATTTGTTTCATTATTTCTTGAAAGTACAATAATTTTGTTTTTTTTTTAAAAGTATGTTCTTATTTTTAAGGTCTTTTATGTTAAATTTATCGTTATAATTTTGCACCGGGTGAAAAAAATTTCTGGGTCCGCCACTGACGAGGACGGTGGAGTAATTGTAGACGCAAGTTTCTTGCATGAACAAGAGGGAACAACAGATGGAGCACATATGCAAACAATACGAGAAGGAATCAAACAACAATTATGGGATGCATTTCATTAGTGAGTTTCTTATATGTATTTCAGAATAATGTATTTTGAAGTTTATTTTGAGGAAAAACTAAACAAATAATAATTATTTTGAATAATTTTTTAGAAGTATGATAATTATGTTTTAGTAAAAATATCAAATTTCTATTAAATATTTGCATATATTTATTTAATTAATTTTATTTACAACCAAAATTTCTTTAATTAATATTTCTATAAGTTTAATTATATTATTAATTTTCAAAAATTCAGCTAGATTCAGCAGTTACCATTTGATCTTAACATTATTCAGCTAGATTCAGCAAAAAATCTCTAATTTATTCAGCCAGATTCAGCAATTCAACCGAATTCAGCCGCATTCAGCGGTTACCATTTAGAGCCTTAATCATGAACTTGTCGTTGACTTAACAATTTTGGCCAAAAATTTGGTCAACGTTTACTAGTGATTAGAGAAACGCTAATTGACTCGATTAAAACCTAATAAATTCACAAAATCATAAAAAATTTCTCCAAATTGAAAGCTAAGAACCCTAAGTGATTTCTTCTCAAGATCGATTGAGAGACACATACAGATTGAAATCGAATTCGCATATTTTGACGAGAGTATCATGAATAAATGAAGGAAGAAGCTTCCAATTCGAAGGGATGGCTAAGAACCCTAGTTCTTAGTTTTCAATTTGGGGGGAAATTTGGAGATTTAATGAGTTTATTAGGTTTTAATCGAGTCATTTAACGTTTCTCTATTAACTTGTAAACGTTGACCAAATTTTGGGCCAAAATTATTAAGTCAACGATAGGTTGAGGATTAAATTTGCGCACACGATAGCTGGAGAATTATTGTGTTAATTAAATATAGTGGGGGAATAAAATGAGCATTTTCTCCATTAGTCCATGTGTTTAGGATTTTCATCAAAATAGATTCATATATATACTTGTGTAGTGAGAAGAAAATAGGTAACTTTGGAGTTGCCGGTACCATGTTAACAATCTCAAAACAAGATATATCCAACCTTATTGAGTTTTAGAAAGATAGAAAACTAAGATACAAAATGAAATAGCTTATTGTGTTTTATTGAGCAAGAAATGTAAAAGAGAAAAATAGATTTAAGTTTGTTATATATGTTTATGTCTTCCTTCTTTGAGCTTTTGTCTCTTTTGATTGGGCTTAGTTTAAGGAGATTTCTTTGGTTTCCGCAGTGTATCAAAATCGTATTCATCCTTGTATTTCACAATTGTATTATATAATAATAAAGTTTTAGATGAAAAAATAAAATAAATAAATAAGAACACGTAAGATCTTTGGTTGTTGTCAAGTCCTAGTCAACCGATAATTTTTTTTGCCATCTAGAATATTTTTATTGAGCACAATAATTTTGAAAAAAGAATAAGTCATATTTATCATGAGCTCAAAAGTGTAAACTATATAATATTATTATTATTTTTTTAAATATTTTACAGATCTTATTCCCACATGCACTATTTCTATCTTTGTTCAGAAACCAGTAGAAAAAAAGAAGCGCAGACACAAAGAGTTATAAACAAAAACAAATAAATAAATAAAAAAGCTAAAAGAAACAAAGTTGAAAGGTTTATTTTTTATTTTTTAATCCAAACTGAAGCAAAGAGACATGTGAATGTTGTTGTGTCTTGTCCTCAGTTCTTCGAAGAAGAATATGAGGTTGGGATTAATCTCAATTCATCATCGAATCTGATTCCTTCACTTTGTTCTTGCCTCTTTCTTCTCCTTCTCCATTTCTTCTCTATCTCTCCTTCAATATTCTTATTTCTTTAGTAGTTGTAGAAGCTTCGTCAGCAGCAAAAACTAAAAGGTAAAGCTCACTAATTCGGTACATTATTCTGCCTTAAATTCGTACCATTTCTGGGTTTTTTTTTTCCCTGGTCCTACTGAATCAAAGTCATCATCAGATTGGTCCAATTTTATCTTTTAGAAATTCAACAATTTTTATTACCTTGTTTCTCTCTCACATGTGTGTATCAGATATGAAGCAACTCTGGGCTTTGTTGTTCTTGTCTTGCCTTTGTACTGGATTGTTCACAAAAGCACATTCTGGGAAACCAAAAGTTGTGAAAATCGGTTCTATATTCAGTTTTGATTCAGTTATTGGCAAAGTTGCTAAGATTGCTATTGATGAGGCAGTGAAAGATGTGAATTCAAACCCCGACATTCTCAGCGGAACAAAGTTTTCTGTTTCGATGCAAAACTCTAATTGCAGCGGTTTTATGGGCATGGTTGAAGGTACCCTTTGAGACTTATTTAGTTAATGTTTTGGATGCTATCAATATTGAGTCGTTTGTTTGTTTGTTGTTGTTGTAGCATTGCGGTTTATGGAGAAGGATATAGTTGGGATTATAGGACCACAATGTTCTGTAGTTGCTCATATGATATCTCATATGGCGAATGAACTTCGTGTGCCTCTTCTTTCGTTTGCTGTTACGGATCCTGTAATGTCGCCGTTACAGTTTCCGTATTTTATCAGGACGACTCAGAGCGATTTATATCAGATGGATGCTATTGCTTCTATTGTTGATTTCTATGGTTGGAAAGAAGTAATTGCTGTGTTTGTGGATGATGATTTCGGAAGGAATGGTGTGGCTGCGTTGAACGATAAGCTTGCGAGTAGGAGATTGAGAATTACTTATAAAGCTGGTTTACATCCCGATACCGCTGTGAATAAGAATGAGATCATGAACATGCTAATCAAGATCATGTTGCTTCAGCCGAGGATTATTGTGATACATGTTTATTCAGAATTGGGTTTTGCGGTTTTTAAAGAGGCTAAGTATCTTGGAATGATGGGAAATGGGTATGTTTGGATTGCTACGGATTGGCTCTCTACGAATCTTGACTCTTCCTCTCCGCTACCCGCTGAGCGATTGGAAACTATTCAAGGTGTTCTTGTTTTGCGTCCGCACACGCCTGATACTAGTTTGAAATGGGAGTTTTTCAAGAGGTGGCGTAAGATTTCTGGTGCTTCTTTGGCTCTTAACACATATGCTCTATATGCTTATGATTCGGTCATGCTGTTAGCGCGTGGTTTAGATAAGTTCTTCAAAGACGGTGGGAATATATCGTTTTCTAATCACTCAATGCTGAATACTCTGGGAAAGAGCGGAAATCTCAACCTCGAAGCGATGACCGTCTTTGATGGTGGAGAAACTCTGCTTAAGGATATCCTCGGAACGCGTATGGTTGGTTTAACAGGACAGCTTCAGTTCACTCCGGACAGGTCTCGGACCCGTCCAGCTTATGATATTATCAATGTGGCTGGAACCGGTGTTCGCCAAATAGGCTACTGGTCAAATCATTCTGGTTTATCAACAGTATCACCCGAGTTACTCTACACAAAGGAGCAACCAAATATGTCTTCTGGTACAACAAGTCCGAAATTAAGGCATGTGATTTGGCCGGGAGAATCATTTACAAAACCTCGCGGATGGGTTTTCTCTAACAATGGGAAAGAGCTCAAGATTGGCGTGCCTCGTCGCGTCAGTTACAAGGAGTTTGTATCACAAATTCGTGGAACCGAGAATATGTTCAAAGGGTTCTGCATTGATGTCTTCACAGCTGCAGTGAACCTTTTACCGTACGCAGTCCCTGTCAAGTTTATTCCTTATGGAAACGGAAAGGAGAATCCGAGCTACACGCATATGGTTGAGATGATAACAACTGGTGTGAGTGCTTATTACATTCTTTCTAATAAAAGATTTTTACCATTTCTGCTTACTTTTAAAATGGAATTACTGCAGAATTTTGATGGGGTAGTAGGTGATGTTGCCATTGTAACAAACCGGACAAAGATTGTAGATTTCACACAACCGTATGCAGCATCTGGACTAGTTGTTGTTGCTCCTTTTAAAAAACTGAATTCAGGAGCTTGGGCTTTTCTCCGACCTTTCAATCGACTTATGTGGGCAGTCACGGGTTGTTGCTTTCTCTTTGTTGGCATTGTTGTTTGGATCTTGGAACATAGGACTAACGATGAATTCAGAGGCCCGCCTAAGAGACAATGCGTCACAATTCTTTGGTCAGTTTACTATATTTTAGAGGAGTAGCTTAGAAAAAACAAGTCCCATTTACCTTGTTGGAAGTCCATCAACTGCATGTTATCTTTGGCTGATACATTTATTTTTTGTTTGATATCTGCAGGTTTAGCTTCTCGACCATGTTTTTCGCGCATAGTATGTCGAAAAACAATGAAAAGAAAACTTAAAGTGGCACTGGTTATTGTTGGCTTTTGACTGACATGAGTCTTTCCCTTGGTTTTGGCAGGAGAGAACACAGTTAGTACACTTGGGCGGTTGGTTCTGATCATATGGCTATTCGTTGTACTAATTATCAACTCGAGCTACACAGCTAGTCTGACATCGATTCTGACGGTTCAGCAGCTCTCATCCCCCATCAAGGGAATTGAAAGCCTTAGAGAAAGGGATGATCCGATCGGGTACCAGGTGGGTTCGTTTGCAGAGAGTTATTTGAGGAATGAACTTAACATATCAGAGTCACGGCTCGTCCCACTAGGAACACCTGAAGCATATGCCAAGGCTTTAAAAGATGGACCAAGCAAAGGAGGCGTTGCTGCAATTGTTGACGAGCGTCCCTATGTAGAACTCTTCCTCTCCAGCAACTGCGCCTATAGGATCGTTGGTCAGGAGTTCACCAAAAGCGGCTGGGGATTTGTAAGTATAAAGACATTGTTACCATTTGGTTTGAAATGTTTTGTTTTCTTTTGCTCATTTCCTAAGTATGGATTGTTTTACGTAGGCATTTCCTAGAGACTCTCCTCTAGCAATAGATCTATCAACAGCGATCTTAGAGCTGGCAGAAAACGGAGATTTGCAGAGGATCCACGACAAATGGCTAATGAAGAACGCATGCACTCTAGAGAACGCGGAGCTCGAATCAGACAGGCTTCATCTAAAAAGTTTCTGGGGACTGTTTCTCATATGCGGTGTTGCGTGCCTCCTCGCTCTCTTCCTCTACTTTGTTCAGATCATCCGTCAGCTCTATAAGAAGCCAAGCGATGATGCCATTGCAAGAGAACAGCAGCAGAATCATGACTCCTCCTCCATGCGCTCCACTCGTCTGCAAAGATTCTTGTCCCTCATGGATGAGAAAGAAGAGTCCAAGCACGAAAGCAAGAAGCGAAAGATTGATGGATCAATGAACGATACTTCGGGATCGACTCGATCACGAGGCTTCGACAGAGAAAGAAGCTTCAATTCGGTAAACCCATTAGATTGAAACTGTAGTTACATAGACATACACAATTTTTTAAAACTGATTATAATTTCAAATTGTTATCCCTAGCCTGAAAATTTAATTTTTTCTTGACATTTATTATAGTATAGTATATAGTATTTATATCTCACAAATCTCTAACAACCACACACACAAGGTTAGAACTAACGATTGTAAAACGTTGAACGAAACCATACCGTGACATTAAATTAGTTGGGACCATAAGGTTGGTGTCTCTTTCAGAGTTGAGAGAAGGCCACGACATTCTGAATCCTGATCCAATCCCTTCACCAAATAATAAATTTTTTCAAGTTTTGGACAGACCAAACAATGAAACCTATCAATAATAATAACCACACAAACCCCAATTAAACCCTCGCTTCCTTATCCTTCTTCTGGGGACCAAAAGAAAACACAGAACAGCTTCTCACTCTTTATTCATGGCAGGAGAATATTCCGGTAGCCGGAGTTCTAACACGCAGCTTCTCGCGGAACTCGAAGCTCTAAGTGAAAACCTTTACCAGAAACCTCAGGTTCAAGTAGGAAACCGGAGAGAACCAACTCTCTCGCTCTCCCGCGGAGTTCTGTTCCTTCGCTTGTTACCTCTGCCGATGAAGTGAGTACAGCACGAGCTGAGGATTTGACAGTATCGAAGCCACGGGCTCGGCGTTTGTCGCTGTCTCCGTGGCGGTCGAGACCGAAGCTTGAGGTAGAGGAGGAAGAGAATGTGACTCAGAACAACAGGATTGTTAAGAAACCAGAGGAGTCGTCATCGGGATCAGGTGTGAAGGAGGAGAAAAAAGGGATATGGAATTGGAAGCCGATTCGAGGGTTGGTTCGGATTGGAATGCAGAAGCTGAGCTGTTTGTTATCAGTGGAGGTTGTGGCGGCGCAGAACCTTCCGGCGTCAAATGAACGGTCTACGCCTTGGAGTTGCGTGAGGAAGAAGGAAACGAAAGACGGTGCCGTTCAGACGATGCCTTGTAGGGTTTCTCAGGGTTCTGCGGATTTTGAGGAGACGTGTTCATCAAGTGCCATGTGTACTACACACCGGCCAACGGTAAAGGTAGTCCGGCGAAGTTTGAGGCTCGTCCGTTTTTGTTTTATCTCTTCGCCGTGGACGCCAAGGAACTGGAGTTTGGAAGGCATGTGGTGGATTTGAGCGAGTTGATTCAGGAGTCGGTAGAGAAGATGAATTATGAAGGAGCTAGGGTTAGGCAATGGGATATGAGTTGGGGGCTTTCAGGGAAGGCTAAAGGAGGTGAATGGCTCTGAAATTAGGGTTTCAGATCATGGAGAAAGACGGTGGAGCTGGGATTTACAGTAAACAAGGCGAATTCGGGATGAAACCGAGTAGTAAACCTAAGAATTTCGCTAATTCCTTCGGGCGAAAGCAATCGAAGACGTCGTTTAGTGTTCCTAGCCCAAAGATGATGAGCCGGAGCGAGGCCTGGACGCCAGCGAGTAGCGCGGAGTCAGTTATCGGATCTTCAAGGGATGGAGCATTTGAATCTTGATGAACCCGAGGAGAAACCTGAGGTGAAAACCGGTTCAGAAAACAGAGGAACCAGAACAGAGAGCTGAAGATGATCAAGAGGAACCTGATTTTGAAGTTGTGGATAAAGGAGTGAGTTTGATGATGACTTGGAAACTGAGAAATCTGATGGAACCATAGGGGAAAGATCCGTGAGATGAAGGAACAACATGTTAATGTTGATGATCCACGGCACATAATGAGACTTACCGAGCTTGATTCAATTGCAAAGCAGATCAAAGCGCTTGAATCGATGATGAAAGACGAGAGTGATGGAGGAGATGGTGTGTGAAACAGAGTCACAAAGGCTAGATGAAGAGGAAACAACGGTGACAAAGGAGTTTCTTCAGTTGCTTGAGGATGAAGAAACCGAGAAGCTCAAATTCTACCAGCACAAAATGGACATCTCTGAACTGCGGTCTGGCGAATCCGTAGATGATGAATCTGAGAATTACCTCTCAGATCTCGGGAAAGGCATTGGTTGCGTTGTTCAGACAAGAGACGGTGGTTACTTAGTTTTCTATGAACCCTTTCGACACGGTTGTCATGAGGAAAAGACCACTCCTAAGCTCGTTATGCAAATCTCGAAACAGATTGTGGTAAGGCCTGAATTTATATTTATATAATCAAAAGAATCCTACCAAACAAGAATCTGAAATCTCTATTACAGGTACTACCAGAAGCCGGACCAGCCACTGGATTCGAGCTATTTCACAGAATGGCGGGTTTGGGTGAGGAACTAGAGTCAAAGATATCTTCGCTTATGGCGATAGACGAGCTAATGGGGAAAACAGGGGAGCAAGTGGCTTTCGAAGGAATAGCGTCAGCGATTATACAGGGGAGAGGAACAAAGAGAGAGCGAACACGAGCGCAGCGCGGACTGTTTGCAGCTGTTAAAACAATGGCTAACGCGATGAGCAGCGGAAGAAGGGAGAGAATAATGACCGGAATCTGGAACGTGGAGGAGAATCCACTGACGTCGGCAGAGGAGGTTTTAGCGGTCTTTACAAAAACTAGAGGAAATGGTGGTGAAGGACTAAAGATTCAAGCTGACATGGTGGATGATGATGCTTTCGAGGTTTCCGCCGCCAAAGGTCAGCGGAATCCACTCGAATCGACCATTCCACTCGACGAGTGGCTAAAGGAGAATCGCAGCCAGAAAACGCTAACGCTTTTGGCGACAGTACAGCTCCGTGACCCGACAAGGAGATACGAAGCGGTGGGAGGGACAGTGGTGGTAGCAGTACAAGCGGAAGAAGAGGAAGAGAAAGGGTTAAAGGTAGGTTGTTTGCACATTGGGGGAGTGAAGAAAGATGCGGCAGAGAAGCGGAGGCTTACGGCGGCGCAATGGCTTGTGGAACACGGAATGGGAAAGAAAGGGAAGAAGAGAGTAATATAAAGAAGAAGGAGAAGGAAGAAGAAGAGGAAATGTTGTGGAGCTTGTCATTCTAGGGTAATGGCGGATATGTGGCTCAAATCTATTAAGGAACCCTGATGTGAGATTGCATAGCTGATCTTGGAGATATTCATATTATACAATAAGATGCATTTGTTTATCTATGTCTTGTATATTTTTTTCAAGAGTTTCAAATTTTACTTGCAACAAACATTAGTCAAATGTCTTTTTACCAAAATTTTAAATTTCAGGAATTGGTTCAGCTAAACTGTCCCTCATTTTATGTCTTGGTTTTTTGTTTACTCAGAAAACTCTTATATAGAAATTGGAAGTCTCTCAATCCATCACATATAAAAATTGGTAGTCATGTTTTTTTTGTTATTTTTTTGTATTGGATCATGAATCTAAGAGTCCAAATGCATAAAAACCCTATCTTTCTAAAACTATTTGTACAAAATACAAATAGGACATGGTAAACACGTAGAAAATGAAACCATGTATGGAACTATATTAAGCAATAATTAAAATCTAAAGCCTATGTTTCCAAAAATTGTGATGACTATTATAAGTAACCAAACTATTAGAATTTAAATTTGGTCTAGCTAAGGGTCAAGTAAGACAAGAAAACATAAAATTTAAGGAGAAGCCAATTATTCTCACTTTCATTCTTTTCCTCGCCTTCTTATGCCATTGTCTAAGCTTTTGAAGTTTGTTCACAAACACTGATCGCTTCATAGTCGATCCCATCTATAAAATATATATTTTAAAATGATTATGCATGATAAACAACTATTCCATGAAAATATTCAAAGGAAAAAATAATATAAAATGTTGCATACCTGAGTGACGAGAGCATAAAGTGGTAATGTGATATAACTGCATAAGGAATTGTACTACCACCCTAAACTCCAAGACCATATATTCAATTTTCACAAACTCGAAAACTTAAAAAAAAATTTGTTGATGAAAATATTATTACTCACCCTAGACAGACACGAATGATTATAAGGCCAAAATGGTGATGAAAACAGGACCTTAGCCCAAACTCATACTGCAACAAGAATAATTAATTCATTATTATAAAAATTTCTAGAAGCAATTAGTACCAACAGAAAGTAAAACTAGAAGAGAGATTCTGAAAAGTTTACCCATATCCAAAAAAAATAAGTAATCTCAAAAGCATTCTGAAAAGTTTCAAAAAAAAAAATCAGTAATTAAAAAACATCACATATATTCACTTATATGAATTTACCTGAAACAGAACGAAGTGGATCATATGAAGTACTAGAGCTGGTTTTTCAAACCAAAAATGTTGGTCTGAGACGTTGACAACTGGCATCCCTTGAATTACTGCATGTCTCTCTTGAATCTCCAATGCCATGTACGATATAATGGCTTGAAGCTTTGTTCCTATGGCTAGTGTTAACTTTAAAAATAACCACAATTTTAGTTCATAAAATGTTCTTAATTTTTTAACTTAGTAGATAAATTAACGACTTACTAGAGGAGGAATCATGGTGATTACGGCGGTAATATACCAACCTATCAAGTTTTTGTTTATACATATAGATCAACTATTAGTTTGTATGTCGAAAACGAGACAAGATATTATAAGGTAGGAAAACGATAAACGAAAGACTAACCGTGAACATCGAAGAGTAAAAAAAACATTACAAAGGCCCATAGCTCGGGTCTGTCATCATCAGTGGTAGATTTCATTAGAAAAATAAAACAAATTAGACTGAAAATGCGAAAGATGATATGAGTTACCTTATTCCCACAACCACCTTGAAGTCGTCTTCTAAGATCTTTTGATGTACTTTTGAAAATCAAACTTCATACCAGGTGCCAAATGAACCTAAATACATAGGTTTTTAGAGCAACAAAATTGATATTAATGGAGAATTAATGTAAGATATTAATGCACTCACACTTATGAATCCATGTCGCATTGTCAAGTAATCAGACTTCCTCACTGATCTAAGTATTTGACGGAAGAAGCACATCTGAAAAAATAAAAAGTATCCTCTAGTTCCATTAGATTAGAGAGGGAATAACCGATTGAGCAAGAATAACACTTAGAATTTAAGAAAATCGTACAACGTAGAAGAAGAATTTATTGCTAGCCCAAGAATTGACATGTTCTCGGACAAATGATGTCTCATGTGTGAGTCTAAATCTTGATGGATCTGTATAAAAAATAAATATAGCAAGGACAGTAAAATTTTGATTAGCAATGACAGTAAAATTTTATGTGCGAATATCATCAAAAAAATAAAGTTCACTCTACCATTCATCATTTCTTGTTCATGGATGACCTCTTGCTCCCATACTTTCCAGCCACGAATCTATGTTTACGAAAAACGAATTATTTAATTAAAATCATCAAGAGATGTCATCTCCGGTAGAGGGCAAGCAAGTGAAGCCATCGCTTAGGGTCTCACATTATTAAACAGTATTTTGGGGAGAAATTTTTTTTTTTACATCATCAAAAATGCCCAAATTTTTAGTTATGCGTAGGGCATCAAAAAGAAACTTTGGACCGGCCCTGAGAGATGGACACTGTGCCAATTTTATACCAATTACCTTGGCTCTTCCAAGCATCATGGTTATAGCACTATATTACATGGAACACGGCCAAGAAGAATATGAATATATGAATTTGATGTAATGCGTTTAGTGATATAAGTGCGACATAATCCTGAAACACCAAAAATAAAGTAATAATTCAATAAAACTACTAAAGTTTTTATGCTGAAATAGTAGTTAATATTACTTTCTTGCAATTCACTGGAGGAGCGTCAGCCAAAGAACGACGTTGAACGGAGGAGAGAATACGCATTGCGTGGTCTGTTTTCTTGAGCTTTTATCATCATGATCTTCACTAGGTCCATCATACGGACCGCAAAAAGACATGCATGGCCGTATCTTGATGGAACACATATGCTCGCAATGTAGTTTTGGCCAAATGTTAGAAGCAGAGAAATAAATCCCAAAACCATAAGCTCTACAATATGTAACATAATTTGAGTTAAAATATAGGAACCAAATCAATGTTCCTTGAATTCAAGAAACCAAAAACTTAATTTTCTAGATTGTTACCATTTTTAATCTTCTCAAGAGCTTCAAACAAAGCTTTCTTCTTCTTTCGTTCGAAAACCTACAAGCATCGAATTAAGTGTAACCAAAAAAGTAACAATACAAAGAATTGTACATAAGGTATAAAGTTCTCTATAAAATTACCTCGCCGACTTTGTGAATGATGAGTTCCAAAATAATGGAGATCAAGATGATAACACCACAAACTGTAGAAACGGCCCAAGTCGGGGTCTGATCTAGCTGTCTTGGACCTTCGCCTCCTCCACCACCACCACCTCCAGCCATTTTTTAAAACCGTGATGATTATCTTTTTTTTTTTTTAGTATGAGTTTGTAATCAGAATTCCAATGTCAATAGAGAAGAGACAATAAAAATGAAGTCAAAGAGATAGAGAGAATGAAAAGGAAGGGGATGGTGTTGCCATTGACGAGCATGCGAAAATAGTAGATAAAAGTGTAGACAAATCCGGTGAGTTATTTTCTTTAAAATTTTAATTTTGATTTTATCAATTTATTTTCTTCCCTATTTTACAGGTTTGCACATTATTTAAGTGAGAATGTATGGAGAAGAACGAGTGCGGAATTATTGGTGGAGGAAATTTAGAAAAATAAATGAGAGAATTAAAGAGACGTCGTTAGCAAACTGCAATATACATCATTAAGAATCAGTTCTTAAGGTTAATTATGCTTTTTGTTTTAAACTAAATCATTTTAAGCTAAGAAACCCTTATTAGAACCCTCCCTTAGAGGTGGTCTAGGTTGTTATAGTATTTCAATCTTGTGGACACAAACACAATTATAAACAAATGTGTTGGTTCTTACTTCTTAGTCTTACATTGTATTTGGAGAAATTGGACGCAAAAATTAACCCCAAAAGAAGAAACAAAACGCAATGGCCAAAATTTTGGCATCATGGTTTTTAGGCCCAATAACTTGGCTGGCTTTGCTTATCCATCTTCCTTATAATTTTTTAAAATTCAACAAAAATCCTAATGATGTTCTTCAAGCATCAAGCGAAAGAAATCCTCGAGCCAAAAGTAGTGGACCATGAGACTGCAACCGAACGAACATCAACCACCAAGGAAATTCAGATTTTTTTTTGCCAACGCAATAAAGAAATTTAAGGAAAACAATCTGACACAGTAGCCAGATAGAGACATACAAAGGGGCCTATTTAAAGAACAGGCTACAAAGCACTGACTGCGTCGGATAAAAAAAGTAGTGAGTTTAGGACGACGCAAACATAAGTAGTATTTGTGTAAGAATCAATCCTCGTATTCCTTTTCCAGAGACTTTAGAAAAAAAGACATTCCATCAGAGAAATATATTGGGGACAAAAGGAAAATCACAAACATTGCAGCAAATCCAAAGGATGCCATATCCTCCCTCTCTCTCAACAAGAGAGAAACCATATGAATATATGATGCATCAAATCTAACTTGGACTAAAAATATTTTTAATAAAGTTATTAAACCAAATAAAAACACAACAATTTTAGAAGAAAAAAATCAAGCTTTTCTTCACTTGGCACTGGCGAGCTGGGAGCAGATGAGCTTAGCCGCATTAACCATGTTCTTGACCGCAGGCTTGACCCCGGTGTACTTACGGGTCTTGAGACCACAGTCAGGGTTAAACCTAAAGGATGTTCTGCTCTAGGACAGTAAGCATCTTGTTGACCCTGTCTGCGATTTCCTCAGAAGATGGTATTCTTGGAGAGTGGATATCGTAGACTCCTGAACCAATTCCAGAACCGTACGGAAAGAAGCTTCTCATCAGACCTGGAGTTCTCAATGGTGATGACATCAGCATCCATGTCAATGATGGAGTGTATGATGTCATAGTAGCACATCTGAGTGTAGATCTGCAAAAAAAAACCACCTGAAGCACACGAGTTATGAGAAACTGAGAAAGTAATACACTAGAAAACTATATGAGTAGTTTTTATTTCAGAAAACCTGGGTGCTGTCTTGGACTCCACAGTTGGTGATTCTGAAGGAGTGAACAGCCCAGTCCAAGTAGAAAGCATGCTCGGATTTCCTGAGTGGTAGTCCTTGTCTGAGTGCAGTCTAATCAATCTGAATGACACCAATTCCACCTTTCTCAAGATCCTCGACTTCGTCCTTGATGGCCAAAGCGATCTGGTCGTGCCTACAATATTTCCAAGCTTGTTTTAGTGGTGTGTTCTTTTTTGGTAGCCATGTTTGGTTTAGATTATGGTAATTTTATGTACCTGGGTTGGTCGTTTCTGACAAAGGACAGGTTGAGAATGGTGACAGGGCCGGTAGGTAAGCATACCCTTCATTGGGCGAGAGGTCATGCTCTGAGCCATTGCGGACCAGAAGACGGTCATTGCCTTGGGACAGCTCACATCACCGTAGATAACTGGTGGCTTCACACAAAGAGATCCATAAGATTGGACCCATCCGTTTGCAGTGAAGGCGAAACCAGACAACAGCTCCCCGAAGTACTCAACCATGTTGTTTCTCTAAAAAATTGTGATAACATGTCTCATCAGAAACAGTAACAAGGACTACCAGAAAAAACTTTTGTACATTCCCGCCACTTAAAGGGTACAAGCAAAAACATAGAATAATTGATAGATTCTCACCTCTGGCTCTCCATGGACAAGAACATCGATACCAAGTTCCTCTTGGAGGTCAACAACTTTCTTGATCTCTTCCTTGATGGCCTTAACGTTGTCCTCCTCAGAGACCCTAGTATAAGAGAGATTAGAGATACTGTTAGCATCACAACAATTTAAGGAAATGTGTGACACATAAGCCCAAGGATTAAATTCAGGAGACTAACTTTTTGGCCTTGTACTCACGGCAAACTCTCCAGAGCTCTACAGTTTGTGGGAAGGATCTGATGGTTGTGGTTGGCAGGATTGGAGGTTGAGATTCTTCTGCTGAGCATCTAGCCTAGCACTAACATTAGTTGCATGGCGATGGTCAGATCCCTTCAAAGCAGCAGCCTGAGATAACAAGAATAAGACATTATCTCAATCAATACAAGATTAGGAAAATAAATCATTGAATGAGAACAATGCATTAGTTTGACGTCAAACTTACGGCCTTCTGAACACCCTCGTTGGTGACTCTTGGGGAAGACCTCCTTGAAGCCAAGTCGCAGCATTGGGAGACAAAAGGGCCTGAAGAAATAAATTGTAAGAGTTCAAGATTTTTTGAAATCTTATACACTACAGATAATTCAAGGGTCCACTACTAGAGAAGCATGTGGGTAAAATACCTCGTCCTTCTGACCAGCCAAAGCCTTGGCCAATGCATTCACTTCAACGACCTTCTGGGCCCAACTCAGGGACGATGTAATGCCTGCATCAATAAAGCATTATCAAATTAGTTCACAACTCAAAAAGACAATGTCAACACAAGGGACACAAGAGAGCAGCAGTCAAGACTCACTAGTTGGTGTCAAACCACTTGGTTAATAAGAGATTTACAACTAAATATGAACCACCAAAAAATATAGTAAGCTTAACGGTCTTACCGTCTTAGATAAGAGTCCATTTTTTTTACAATGCTTACAGAAAAATCCAAACGGCAGTACCTTTTTCATTTCTCAGGTCCAATACAAAATAATTTAGAAAAGACTCAAACCAAAACCCTGAAAAAACCTCAATAGTTTCAAAATTTACAAATCAATCAAATCAATAAATATGAAAAGCTGAAGAAAGAGGAGAAAAGGAAACACAAACACACAAGAAAACCAATACAAAGGAGAAAACTTGGTACAAAAATATGATTAGTGGCCTCTTCTTGCACCTTTTAATAACAGAGGACAGTCTGATTGAAAAAAAAAACAAAACCCAGAAGTGCCTATCATTAACATGTAACAAAGATATATTTACTTGAGTTTGAGATGTATTACCCTTTGATTTTTTCAATTTGAGTCACTGGAACTAGAGCTTGAGCTTGAACTTGAACTGGAGCTTGAAGAATTGGACTTAGTCTTATTCTTCATTTTCTTCTCCTTCTTTCCTTTTTTGCTCTGCAATGTTTTCCCTCGAATTCTCTGGAGTTTCTTTGGACCCAGGACTCTGGACATTCACATCAGTGTTGCTTGCGGTGGTCTCAGCTTTCGCTTCCTCGGTCACAACTTTATCACTTAGTGTTACATTACTAGGACCAGCTGCTTCTGTGGGAATCACCACTCTTTCAGAGATTACTTCCATTGACATCCCCTCTTTTGGTTCAGAAGGTTTGGGGAATTCTTCCAGTGATCGAGTTTCGACAGGTAAAACATCGGATGTTATCTCTTTTGGTTTACTTTCCTCTTCTTCTTCTTCTTTCGTGGGTGTGTTGTTTAGAGGAACGTTTGTTTCATCAATAGATCTTTCTTCAACTGAAGACTCTGATGGTTCGGATCCAACTACACACTTGATTTCTCCAGGCCTACCATCTGATTGTGGTGATTTTAGTTGCTTGTCCATGCTCTCTACAACAGCCTGATTAATAGCATTTTCTAGATCTTCCTTCGACGTAGCTTCCACAACTGCTAAATCTGACCCAGTATCTGTTGAATTTCCGTAATTTTCTTGACCCAACTGATCTTGAACGGTGGTTGGAAGAATAACATCCTCAACCTCAGATCCTTCATGGATTTGCTGGAAAGCAGAATCTATGTCTTCAACCGATCTCGCTTCAAGAACAGGCAGAGCTTCGGTCAGTTCATCGGCAGTGTCAGGTCCTATCGAAGATGGCCCAGGTTCAGAGTCTGTCACAACTTCCTTAACACTGAAGTCTCCAATGGAGTCAAGTTCAGACAACAATCCTTCATCAATCTCTTTTATCTCGTCTGCCTCGTCAGTGATAATTTCAGGAGGACTTTCAGATATTGCATGCAAGTCTGTAAGCTGATCTAATCGCTGCACCACATCGTCAAGCTCCTCATAAATATCCTCTTGGAAGAATTCCGCCCTTGAGCCTTCACCAACCATAGGTGTCGTGTACTCGGGAGATTCTGCTGGAGAGGAGGAAGTGTCAGATGTCAAACAAGATAACTCCGCTGTATCTTCAGGAGCATCGTGATACTCGTGGAAAGTGATGTTGCGGGAAAAGACGACACTGACAGGACCTGCACGAGTTGGTACCTGCAATAACACATCACAGAGGTAAGAAACATGTCTCCCGCTTAACAAATTGTAGAAAGAACAAAGAAGTCCAAACATTTTGGAGGTATCAACCTGTTGTTATTTCCAGTTCCAGTTAAGAAACCACATATCCAGATGACGTACCATTATTAAATAAGAAACATGATAAGTATATAAAATATGTTCTTGTACATATATCAATGCGCCATCAAGTAACTAATCCCGTATATCACATAGAATTGTCTTAAACTTAGAGGAGAGCAGCAGGAGATAGTATGTTAAACTCATCAGATAAATGTTCAGACTTCAAATAAATGTTGTGATATTGTGCATTTATGAGAGAAGATAAGTTTCATGACTTACTTGATCTTCACCAGGTTCAAGAGATGATTGTTCTACCACAGATTTATCTGACCAAGTCAGTTCTCTATCTGATTCAGATGGAGTTGTTTCTTCAGATCCCACATTTGGGGAACCAGCATTTACAGAGTCTACTTCGATATCCATTGTTTGGTCGGGGTTAATTTCTTCCTCCGCATCAAGAACTGATGAGTGAGCTGGTTCTTGTTCCAACTGCGGAACATCTTCATCATTAAAAGAATGCGTCTCAACATACTCAACTGCTCCAGAAGACAAAGTGGCATAATTATCTATTGGGATGTCTGCATTGAATGTTTGAGGACTGGCTTCATCTTTTTGTTTCCGGGATTCCTCTTCCTCGTGCATTATCTCTTCAGCTACTGACCTGTTTACTGAAGTTTCAGCTATGTCACGTACCACATCAGGTGATTCTTCCAGTGTTGTTACATGCTCCCTCGTATCACCAGATCCCAGAGGTAAATATGTATGCTCAATTGGGAGATGTTGTTCAACCATCCCTGTAGATACTACTTCCTCTTCTGTATGAGAAACCAAGCCCACCAAAGATGCACTAACATCTAGCGTTCTGGTATCTACAACCTCTCTCACGGCTTCATGCAGTTCTTCCAGTTCCTCTGAACTAGAAACAGATAAACGGTCATCCTCCTGGTCATCAGCATTCTCACTCTTACCCAAAGGCATAGAAGCCGGACCAAGTAAGGCATCTTCAAATTCAGACCCTGAAACAATTGAGTTATTTTGATCATCAATTCCAACCTCTGCAATGACAAGGCTTGCCTCTCTTGTTACATGCGTGCTAGTTTCACCTACTTCCTTTGTCCTTGTTTCAGTCTCATTAGAAGTGGAATGAATTTCCTCAGGACCTATGCTTTTAGAATAAACTTCATGTTCTTTCTCTTCATTTTCTTCTACTTCTTCCCCATTCTTTTCAGGTAGATCTGGTCTGTAATCAGACGACACAGAAGAAAATGATGGGAATCTGCTGCCTGAGGGAGGACTCGAATCGTAAACAGGTTCCTCGTGGTGGCCATCTCCCAAACCACAAAGAGCATGAATTGTTGACTCATCAAGTGAGGGATGCGCAGTAATGAAAGATTCTTCAGCACGAGCTTCATCATGGTGGTAACCATTCTCCACCACCCTAGCCCCATTGATCTCTAATTCTTCAAAAGAAGGCTGGGAAGACGCACCTGATTCTTCATGAAGATCAACTACCCGTTCCGAAATCAACATTGCTTCATCTTCACTGATATCCCGCATATTTTCTTCTTTCTCTGATAAAGATGAATCACTATCACTAAAATACTCTTCATCAAGTTTTCCTTTATCAGAAGTTTCTCCTTCCATCATGTTCGATTGCTCATGGTGTGTTTCTTCTCCACTTCCCAGTACTATCTCAGCCACATCATTATGAAGCTTTCTGCTATCAGCTTGTTCATCGAAATCGGAATCCTCAGACGAATGGCTTTTTTCTTCATCATGGTCAGAAGCTGAATGGCTTTTTTCTTCATCATGGTCAGAAGCCGAATGGCTTTTTTCTTCATCATGGTCAGAAGCCATATCAACTTTAGCAATTTCGGTTTCTCGATCAGCATCATGTTCATCCACCTTCTTTTCGTCATCCTCTAGGACTGTGCACACAGATTCAGTATCAGGAACAGAACTGACTTTTGATTCACTGACTTCACTGAGCTGCCTTTCAAATGGATAATAGCTCGTTCCCTCATTTGCTAATCTTTCTAGCACAAAGAAAGGTCGTAGCCTATCATGCCTAGGACCTCCAAGCATTGATGGGCCTACACTGAAACTTTCATGTCTTCTGAACACTTGATCCTTTGGTTGTTGAGAAGAGAACTCTTCTTGGAAACCGTCAGCCTTGAGGTCTGGCTTTTCTTCATTTGGCTCATATGGAAGATCAAATGGGTTTCTCCTCGCAAACATAATGGACGGGGCAGAGCCAGGGATAGGTGGTAATCCCATATCATCATAGGAATCATATGGAGCATCAAATGGATTCTGCCTTGCAGTTGAGATTGGCGGCATATTAAAGGGAATATCAGCACTGTCAAAATCAATAAGATTTCTCTCTGCCATCAGTCTCATATTGTGGCGAGCCCTTCTCCTGGCAATAAGATTCTCCAACCGTTGGTTTCTTTCAAGTTCAAGACTTCCTAGATCCATAACATTTCTTTGGTCAGCCTCTGTCCATTTGATTGCTGATTTACTTTCGTCGTCCTTATCTTCTTTCTTTTCATGTTCCTGTTCCTCTTCCTCTTCCTCTTCTTCATCTTCTTCCTCATCTTCATTCTCGTTGTCGCCTTCTTCTCCATGACTTTCACTGTCAACATCAGACTCCATTCCTTCATCACTACTACTCCTACCTTCATCACTACTACTCCTATGTGGCCCCTCTGAAGCTGCATCTGATCCTTCACCATCTGCAATACCACGACTAGGAGCTTCTGAGTGTAAAAGCGGGTGAAGCTCGTCAAGCATCGGGATGATGTCTGTCATAGAAGCATCAGGCGAAGAACTTTCTGCACCATCAGACCCAGAATCCAGCGAGTCATCACGGTCCGCATCATCATCCTCATCCTCTTCATGCCTCATTGGTCTCCAAGGTGAAACTGGAGATACATCCATCTGATCATCTTTGGAATCGTCAATCCTTTCATATAGAGTTCCGTTTTTCCTCGATTGCTCTCCACCAAAAGCTTGTGCCCCATCATTTTCAATCAGTTTCTCCTCTACTCTTTCTCCCATCTTGTCCACATCCAAAATAAATGCTTTCTCCTCAAACCTTACCTGAGGATCCCGTTTAATCTCATCAAGAGTCTCATCAACTAAAGGCCTATAATCAAAAGGCCGACCATTGTCCTCAACTTCACTGAGTAGGTTTTCCACTAATCTATCAACATCATCATTCCCATCCTCAAGCACATCTTTCTCCACCCCCACGAAACTCTCCACCGTAAAACTCTGATCTCCTCTCTCAACAACAGTAACATTAGCATCCCTTGAAACCTCAGTTCTAAAAGGAGCAGCCTCGTGGACAATCTCCGGTTCCTTTTCGATTTCAGGAATGTTTGGCTCTCCAAAACTCAAAATCGTGCCAAGCAAAACGAAAGTACACACCAAAACAGGAGATGCAGTCACCAAAGGAGCAAATAAAAGAGGACAATATCTATGCAGAAAATACAAAAACCCAATGAACCCAAGAAGAAAGGGATGATTGCAAATCCATCTGTAGGACATTCTGATCTTAATGACGAATAATCTCCGAATCTGAACTCTGAACTCCGACCGATCACTGATCATCTCTTTAATATTTTTCCAGGTTGTTTCTGTATAAGAATTACAAAGAACAATCAGAATCAGATGATAGCTTGAAAGTTGACATATTCAAAAAAGGAAACATTTGAGCAGCTTTGATGTATGTACATTTATAAGTAGTTTAGGGTCGGTTGATATAAAATCTGTTAGAAATTCATGTGCCTATGGTTGTCTATGTACATTTATAAGTAGTTTTGTTTTCTCTGCTATTTTAAAGCTCTGATCTGACACGCTTGAGCTCTCTCTTAGGGACCATACGTAGATATCCAACAATGTGTGAAGCAATTATGATTTTCTTTTACTTGATTAAAACACACAAAACCAAATCAAAAATCTAAATCATACTATTAAAATAACTCCGGGAAAACCACAAAGCATCAACGAAACTGATAGAATCACACGATTTACGTTTATGCAGCTTTTTGAGTCTACTACTACTAGTACTACTTGAGACTTGAGAGTATAATCGAAAACTATTAGATCAAAACAAGATGCGACATATATCGATAAGAGATGATTAAAAAGCGGATCTAAACGAATACGAACACAAAAACAGCAATCATTTTCAAAAGATTCAGATCCTGCAGAAACCAGATCTACGAATCGAAATAAGCAGATCTGAGTCCAATGAACTCACTCAGCGAATAGATGGAGGAATCAAGAAACGAGAATGAAACACTAAAAAAAATAACGTGGGGAAGGAAAGCGAAAGAAGCTAAATAATTCAGAGAGAGAGACGTAAGGAAGACATAGAAACTCGGAGACGAACCTGACGGAGGAAGAATCGGAGAGTAGAAGGCGAGGAAGAAGAGTGGCCTCTCTGAGAGTTTATTTATTTTAGCCAAAAGTCTAAAATGACAGATCGATCGTTGGGCTCTCTGTCATTTGTGTACCTTTCGGCATATTATTATTTTATTTTTTTGGTAAGCTTTCGGCATATTATTATTTATTTTAACATCCCAATTTATTATTATTATCAGGCTTTCTGAAATTTATGTTATTTTTCAACAAAGTTGAGTACTAGTATTTCTTTTTTTTTTTTATTGTCAACGTGAAGGGGAGTTGGTGTACGTGGGAGCAGCTTTGATCGTATTTAAGATTGAGATAAACAATAAGATGAGTCTAATTCAAATCAATATCCAAAACTTTAGATCACTACCCAACGTTAAGATATCAACGATTATATATTAAAGAGATGGCAAATCAGATCGAGGATCAAATTAATAGAGGGGAGGAGACGTGGGGAAGCCATGGAAAGTCGGAGACGTACCTTACAGAGGTTGCGTTGGAGTTGTTTCGTTTTCTAATCAAGAAAAGGAAATTCAAAAAAGAAGAAATCAAGCTACAAAGGAAATTGAGCAAAAACGAAATCAAGCAACAAAGAGGATTGAGCAAAAGGTAAACAAAGAAAAGGAGAAATTGTCACAATAGGAATTAGCAATTTACTATTTGTGTTTAAAATCATAACTCTATAAATAGGATGTTTGTGTTAGAGTTAAAATTCATAGAAAAAAAAAAGAATAGAAAAAGAGAGAATCGCAAAGGGAAAATTAATAAAAAAAAAGAAACGAGGTTTATGTAACGATTAAGAGAATCTTATTTATCAAAGAAGGTGGCTTACAACTATTTATACAAATGTACTAGAGGATTAGGGTAAAACTAATTTACATAAATTGCATTTAGATCCCTAACTTATTATTTACTTAATACGCTTATACGCCCCCTCAAGATGGAGGTAGTCGAGTAACTCCAATCTTGACGCACGCATGTTGAAACTGTGATCGTGGTAGTGGCTTCGTAAGCGTGTCTGCCAGCTGGTCATGAGTTGAAACATGAGAAACTCGTAGCACGCCGGCTTGTATTAGATTGCGGACAAAGTGATAGTCAAGAGCGATGTGTTTCATGCGAGAGTGGAAGACCGGATTCGCACACAAATAAGTTGCACCAATATTGTCACAATAGATAACCAGCGTAGTAGAGAATGGTAGTTTAAGCTCGGTAAGTAGGGAACACAGCCATTGTACCTCAGAGGCCGTGTTTGCAACGGCCCGGTATTCAGCTTCTGTAGATGAACGAGCGACGCCTCGTTGTTTCTTTGAAGACCATGAGATAGGATTGCGACCAAGGTAAATCAAGTAGCCATTCGTGGAGACATAGTCATCCGAATCACCTCCCCAATCAGCATCCGAATATGCATGTAGCGTCATCGGAGATGCGGCATGAAGATAAATTCCATGTGTGATCGTACCTGCCAAGTACCGTAATACTCGTTTCGCGGCCTGCCAGTGTTCATGTGTCGGCTTGTGAATGAACTGCGATAAACGGTTGACGGCGTAGGAGATGTCAGGTCGCGTGAAGGCGAGATATTGTAGGCTGCCGACTAGTGATCGATATTGTGAGGCATCATCGAGTGGGCTGCCGCTTGTCAACGTTAGCTTGGGAGTAGTTGGGAGTGGTGTAGTAATCGGTTTTGCATCCAACATGTTATGGCGAGTGAGGAGGTCAGTGACGTAGCGACGCTGCATTAGATGCATACCTTTTGCTGAGCGAGTCACCTCTATTCCAAGGAAGTAGTGCAAATCTGTCGGATCTTTGATTGAGAACCTGTCTGCAAATGAAGCCAACACATTAGCAACCATCATGTTATTATTGCCTGTGACAATGATGTCATCGACGTAGACAAGAACATATGTTATGGTTGTGGCCGAGCTGTGTATGAAGAGCGATGTATCAGCTAAAGAGTTGGTGAAGCCGGTGGCTAGAAGATATTGTTTGAGTGCCATGTACCAGGCTCGCGGAGCTTGTTTGAGGCCATAGATTGGTTTCCTTAGCTTACACACATACGACGGTCTATCTTTGTCAATAAAGCCAGGGAGGTTGTGACATGTACACTTCTTCGGTAAGTTCACCTTGAAGAAAAGCATTGTTGACATCCAGTTGCTTGATTGGCCATGCCTTGGTGACCGCTACTTCCAAAACAAGATGAATCGTGGTGGATTTTATAACCGGGCTGAACGTTTTGGCATAATCTTTCCCATATTGTTGATGAAAACCCTTTGCAACCAATCTTGCCTTGTATCGATCGAGTAGACCATTAGAGAGAAATTTTGTTGTGAAGACCCATTTGCAGCCAACAATGTTTTGACTCGCCTTTGGAGGAACTAAATCCCACGTATGATTACCCAGGAGTGCATCGAATTCAAGAGAAGAAGCCCGGCTCCAATTCTCGTCCTTTAAGGCTTGGTGAATAGTGGTCGGTTCCTTCTGTTTTTGTTTGTTTGCAATGACTGTGAGGCTGAGTTTCTGGTTTGGTTTGCGAATATTATTTTTGGCTCGAGTTTGCATTTTGTGGATGTTTTGCGGTGGCTCATTATTTTGGTTCTGTGGTTGAGAAGACACGGCTCGGTTTGGATTTTGTGGATTTGATTGTAGTTGGGACTGAGTTGTGGGTTGCAACTCATTTTGTCGTGGAGCAGTAGGCTCATTTGGATCAGGGTTTGGCTGAATCGAGGTTTGCGATCCATTTTTGTTTGGAGCAGTAGGCTCAGAAATATGAGGAGAAGTAGAGGTGGAGCTAGGGATAGAAGACGATACCTGTGGAGACGGAGATGGCAGTGACGGCAAGCGAAGGTCTGAGCGTGGGGGTCCCGGTGGCGTCGACGAAGACGAGTGAGTGGCCGGTGACGAGTTGGTGGCGTCGGCATTGTGTGAAGACGACGATGAAGAGGAAGGTGTCGTAACACAAGTTGGGCTTGAGTTTTGGAGAAGTGGTGATTTCTGTTGTGCCTGATTTAATTCTCTTAGTGGGCCTATTTGATTTGAGCCCACTAATGTTATGGATCCAACACGAGCATCATCTTCTTCATGTTGCAATTCACGGGGCTGCGAGCGAGACACGGTGGCTGGAAGCGGTGACACCGGCGTGGAGGTGTACGGCGGTATCAGCGGTGGTGGCGATAGCGTGAGCATGACCGGTGAGGTTGTTTCCGACAGAACCACCGACGGGACCGTTTCTTCACGGTTTGGTGAGCTGATTTGATTCTTGAATGGGAAAATGGTTTCATCAAATTGAACATGACGGGAGACATACATTCGCTTGGTCGGAATGTGGAGGCAAAAATATGCACTCTGTGACGTAGAGTAGCCAAGGAAAACACACCTTTGAGATCGATCATCAAGCTTATGACGTGTATACGGTTGCAACCAAGGAAAACAGAGACTGCCAAAGACCCGGAGCTTCTCATAGTTAGGTGGGTGCCCAAAGAGTTTCTGAAACGGTGAGTCCATGGAGAGAACTGGCGTCGGCATTCGGTTGATTAGATAGACGGCTGTGGCAAATGCGTACGACCAATATTCCTTGGGAACCGACGCGGTCGATAAAAGAGTGAGGCCTGTTTCCACTATATGACGGTGTTTACGCTCAGCGAGTCCGTTGTGTTCCGGCGTATGTGGTGGCGATGTTAGATGAGAGATGCCATGTGTGGTAAGGAAACTCCGAAGTGCGACAAACTCTCCTCCATTGTCTGAAAATAAGGTGCCAATTTTGGTTTGAAACCGGTTTTCGACAAGGGATTTAAAGGCTGGGAATATATCACGAACATCGGACTTGCGTTTAAGCGGATATAACCAAGTGTAGCGGGTGAAGTGATCAATCAAGACTAGGTAGTATTTGTGGTTTTCAACGGAGTAAATGGGAGAGGTCCATACATCCGTAAAAATGAATTCAAGAGGACGTTTTGAGGCAATTGTGGTTTGAGAAAAAGGGAGCTTGTGGCTTTTATTAATGAGACATTCAGAGCAAGACAAGTGTTTTTGCTGTGAAGTAGAAAATGAAAGAGAATGTTTTGAAATAATAGAATGCAAAATAGAGGAGGACGGGTGTCATAATCTTGAATGCCAGGACATTAGAGTTGCTTTTGGACCGGAGGAAGAAACCATTGCAGCAACTTGAGAAGTAGTCACCGGCCATTCGTACAGCTCGTTCTTAGTCTTGCCTTGGAGTAATGGGACCCCCGTGCTGAGATCCTTCACCTGAAAAGAGGCCGGGAAAAATTCCACCGAAACTCGATTAGTATTACATAGGCGATAAACCGAGATAAGATTTTTGTGTAAATCAGGAACACATAATATTTTATCAAGAAGTAAGGCACGAGTTTGATTGGGAAGAAGTGTGGAACCAGTGTGGGAAATCGGCATTGTTGACCCGTCGGCAATCAACACGTCATCACCACCATTGTAGGGCTGATGAAGAGCCATGTTGTTAAGATCAGCAGTGAGGTGATGAGTAGCCCCAGAATCAAGGAGCCAAGGAGCCGCAGGGTACTGGTGAACCAACAGCAAGGTTTGCACGGGGCTGCCATGGTCGGAACGGTGAGCTCGGAGGTGTAGTCTGTGACACTTGAAGCGATTGAAACTGCGGGCAACGGCGAGCACTATGGCCTTGGGTTTGACAGATTTGACATTTGCCCAAGTACGGTTTAGAGACTCTACCATCTTGTTGATTCTGGTTGTGTGATGGCTGCCATGAAGAGTTGTTGTTGTTGTTGTATCTCTTGCCGTAGTTGTTGTTGCGATTGTTGTTGGAGTTATTGCGGTGTTGCACATTGTTGGCAGAGACAGGAAGTGACGACGCGGAGGCTGCTTGCTTGGAGAGAAGTTTTGCTTCATGGTTCCGAAGTCTTTCATGAACATCGGGTATTTGAGGTGGCTTGTCTCTAGCAGCAATCTGGTCAATCACGGGTTTGTACTCATCGGGAAGGCCTTCAAGAATGTGTTCGATCTGGTCATCGTGTTCAAGAGGATTATCAAGGAGAGCAAGGGTATCAAGACGAGTAGTGATGCCTAGGATGTACTCGTCGATTGTCATAGTACCCTTGTGGAAGACCTTAAGCTGATCTTTGAGTTGCCGAATGTGGCTGCGGGAAGGATTAGCATATGTGGAAGCTAGCTTTTTGATAGTAAGATTTTACTCTAACAAGTATCAATCCCTAATACACATGCCATTGTAGTATATTAGGTTTATCAATCCAATCTCAGTGTGACTGCAAGCATTCAAGATATACACAGGAAGCAAATAAGTCAAGCCAATTATGAAAGGGTTTTGTGTGTTTCTATTGATCCTAAGCAACCAATTTAACATGCGAATACCGAATTCGAAAACATAAGGAAGAGAACTAAACAGCAAGTAAACAAGAGCAAGAAGTAAACTAAAGACCAGAAACTATCATGCATAAGCTTTGGAAAAGAAACTAACAACCTAACAATGCAGAGACACGCTCTAGGCCTAACAGGTCGAGTAGAACACAAAAGCTAACAGAAACGAGATTTAAACAATCAATAGAGATAAAAGGGTCCTGAGGAATGGGATAATCGATTATAGTAGTCTCCTTAGTCTACCTAGGTGGTTAACAAACTCAATCAAGCTATCCCTAGACAATAGATTCGAATACAAATCAATCCACTCTCGTGACAGAGATTCTCAAGCTAAATCACTTTCATACTCAATTCTCATTGAAGAAATATAACCTAGCAGACATTATGATTCAATCTAATAAAGTCAATAAGCATTCTAATCATCCAATCTCTTGGGCTAGAGTATGCAAATCTCTGGAAAAGTTTGTTCAGACATTTCATCAAACACCTTGTGAGTGTGGAAATGTCTGAGATCTATTTCCAATTGATCAGAGAAGAAATAGCATTAAGATCAACTAAACCAGAAGGGAAATCAAGCAATTCTACACTTAACCACCTAAATATACTAAGGATTCCACACCTAATCTAATGACACGATCCTCCCGAGGACTCGGCACTCTAAAGTTGAGCAAGGGATAGAGGTGGCTGTGAAGCCGTGATGATGGATAGATGATCTCGATCTAGAGACGACACACGACTCAAAGACGAGAGAATGGATCGATGGATATCACAGAAGCTTGCGGAAGAGCTTCACGATACCGAGACTTAGATCCTTTGGATATACGCACCAAAAGAGACTAAGGATTTTGCTGGATATACACACCAACAAGATGATCTTCTTAGAAAAGGTTTTTGATAAAAAGAAAGATAAGTTCTCATAAGAGATTACAAGAGAATATATAAAGGAGAAGGAGAGCAGAGAATGTAGAGAGACAAGTCTTGGAACAAGCTCCAAGGCTGCCTAGAAACTTAACAAAATATTAAAGATAGAATTTGAATAGAAAAGACCCTTTGGCTTCAAAGATGACCCTTGAACTCCTATTTTCGTCACTCCTCTTGACCAGCAAATTAAGCACTTGGTTTGGGCTCTTCTTGGGCTTGTAATAGCCATAAAATGGGCTAGACTCCATATATATTCCATGGGGCTGACTTATGAATATTATTCCATGGGCCGGATCAACAAATGGGTGATTTGAATGTGAATCATTTGCCTCATTAAAAACCTTGTCAAGAAAACCCATTGGGACAAAACTTGACAAGGGAAAAAGAGTACAAATGAGACACATGCCCATTTGATGATCATTTATCAAAACCAGTGAGGTTAAGATAACATCTTTTCCATACTCTTTCTCCGGTACGAGCTCACTTTCTGGTTCAAAATGCTCCTCAGGTTCAAGCGGCTCCTCTGCTTCAAGCTCCTCCTCGGCTACAAGCTCTTTATCACGTTCCATGTCCTTTGTGCTTTCCATGATCATATCATCCTCTCCCTCTTGAAAAGGATTTGACCTCAAATCCGATTTGTCTGCGATGAAAGGAACTAAGTTAGAAACATTGAAACTGGAACTCACATTACACTTACCTTGCAGATCAAGTTGATAAGCATTGTCGCTTGTTCGTCTTCTTATGTTGAATGGACCATTGATCCTTGGCATTAGTTTGGACTTCTTTTCAGCTGGAAATCGTTTCTTCTTCAAGTGTACCCATACTTGTTCTCCAACCTCAAAGATCATTCTGAAATAAGTAATAAGTTTCTTATCCTGTATCACAACATCTCCAATGCCAGTTCTCACAAAGAAATTAGACGAGAGAAATTCTAAGTCCGGTGGCTCCTTTTTTGTACCTGCAATGTTGTCAACAGCTTTGGCAAAGAGCAAGTGTGTTATCACAGTCATGGAATCACTATAAACAAGTAAGCATGTCTCAACTTTGATCAATGCATTATCCTTGAAATGTTCATGTTCTACTTGCGTCCTAAAATATGAGTTTGGTTCCAAATATTCTTTAAATAAATCTAACTCTTTCTCGATGTTTTCTAGATGTGATAAACTCATAATAACAGTTCTTGAAACACGAGAAACAAATAGAGTGATAGAGTTACTTACCTGAATAAGGGTCGCACTATGTTCGGTGCTTGGTATCATCACGATTAATGCAAGTGGTGTTAGATCCGGGGGTTCTTCTTTGATCAAGGCTCTGTTGGTGACCAACTTCTCCTCTCTAGAGCTATCTAACAACTCTCCTGGTCGCCATTGATAGGTATGGAAAGAACCAAATGAAGAAAGATCCATTTTAGGCTCATCGGAAAACATGTGAAGTAAAGTGATCAAAATCTCATGTGGTAACAGCCTTGAACGTCCTAGATAATCTCCTGGTCTCCAAATGTGGCTTTGAGAATCATCATGAATGGATGGTAGTCCTATAGGTTTATCCTCCGAGAACATGTTCTCATAATCCTGCAAAAGAGACATCATCTCACTCGGCAGCACCGATGCAAGGTTAGTCAAGCTCAAGAGAGCTTCTTCATAGTTCAGCAATAAACATTGGTGTTTTGATAACAAAGCATTTTTAACCTTACTAGCCCTCACAAACAAATTTGAATGCTTGCCTATGCATTCTTCCCTGTGCTTTAGCCGAAGTTGATTTTGATAACCTTCACGAGGATCTCTTGATTGACTCATATGATGAGTGCTTATCTCCCTATCATTAGTCTTCTTGATTGGCGTCCAAATCGTAGAACCTTCACCAAGAGAAAGCAAATTAATTAGCTTTCATTCGTTTTTGGGAGTTTAGATAATTACCTCGGGTTTGAATTGGTGGTGTAACATCTGGTGGTTTCTCCTTGATCACAATATTGTATTCAGCTTTAGATAATCGATTGTGGACCAGAACTGCTTCAGCTTGAGTTAATTCTCCAATTCCACTCATGGTTCCTTGTTTGGGTTCTTTGTAAAGGGATTGAGGCTGCTGCAAATCCGGCGGCTTTTCTTTGATTGCCATTATGTCTAGTGCACCTTCAGCTCTCCTCAAGTCGTCATGGATATGGAGTGGAACCTTGAACGTGCCTTTTCTTGATGTCACTTCTCCTATGTAGTTATTCTTCTCCAGAGCTCATGTTCCTTTTTCAGCACTCATGGGACAGAACAAATGCATTATACTTGAAATAGAGAATCCAAAAACATAATCTTCAAGGTTGGTTTGCAAAGCTCATTGAACGAATTTGATTCTTGCAACTCATAAAAAGTTTTAACCAATGCATTTTCGGTTTTTATTCTAAACAGTTCAAATGCTTTGCTACACAAAGAAATTCTCAAAGACGAGTTAAATTCACGAAACTCATCAAATAGAAAACATCTTGGCTTAAAGAGCTTTTCAAGTGTGAGTGTATCAAAAGTTGGAATCATTTTGTCAAAAACAGATTTTGAAACACGAAATTCTTTCACATTTTCCAAACCAAATTGTTTTTCATCTTGAGCAGAAATCAAAACAAACACATTAAGCTTTTTTGTAACCAAATCAACTTCCTTACAGTGCTTTTGATAATGCTCATTTGACTCAAGGATTGGTTCAGGAACAAAGATAGTTTGCTGCTCCAAATTAGTAACAATCGATGGCAAACTCCTTTGAACTTCTACCTGAGATTCTTCTTCCATAACCTGTGAAAAACAAAAAGTACTACTCGGTTGCACCGGCTTGGAAAGGATTAGTTTGTCACAAGGTTGATCATTTTCAAGCACAAAATCAGGTTTCTCAGAAAGATCACACGTATCTTTCACAAATTTAGAAGGAAGAGCAAACTTAGCTTTTTCTGAATTAGAAGGAAGAACACACTTAGCTTTCTTAGGTTTGTTGTAAGCGTTGAAAATCTTCAGAAGCTCATCCTCGAACTGTTCTTTAGCTAAGGCTAGACTTTCCTTTTGGTTTTGCTTGTGAACTACAACTTCGTCAGTGACCATCTTTGGTTGAGATGTTGACTTAGCTTTCTTGGGTTTATTGTAAGCGTTGAGAATCTTCAGAAGTTCATCCTCGAACTGTTCTTTTGCTAAGGCTAGACTTTCCTTTTGGCTTTTCTTCACGGCCTTAACTTTTTTCACATCATTATGTTGCGGGGTAGCTTTCTCAACACGTCTTTGATCACCACGATTGTAGTAGTAACTATTTGCTTGATCTTGGGTTGATCTGCTTCTCCAATTAGGTTTCTCCTGGGGTCTCCTTGGTTTTGCCTCTTTTTGATATGTGATTTGCTCATGCCTCTCTTGGCTTCTCCTTGGAGATCTTAAATTCTGATGAAACTCTTGGCGAAAAGCTTCCAATTCGGTGTTCATCATTTTCTTCATAGCTTCAGTCAAAAGTTTGTTGTTCCGATCGTAGCTACTCTCTTCCTCATTGGTTTCAGCCATCCTTTCTGCAATAGAAACAACAAAACAACACCAGTAACTAGTTCTTTTTGAAACAAACACGAAATGACTCTTCAAATACCACAAAATTCTCCTAGAACCCTAATCACGACAGTTTGACTTGTTCGGATGACTAAAAATTATCAAATCGTGCAGGAAAATTCCAGAAACAATTTTACAAAATACTAGACTCGATTTCGAACCCGTGACAGTTGATTTCGCGATTTTAGCACATACCAATTATTTATGAAAATTAAAACAAGATGACAGACGGAATAAGAAGATGAACAGACAAGATAGAATACTCAACTTTCAGAGTGTGCTCTGATACCACTTGATACGATCCTCCCGAGGACTCGGCACTCTAAAGTTGAGCAAGGGATAGAGGTGGCTGTGAAGCCGTGATGATGGATAGATGATCTCGATCTAGAGACGACACACGACTCAAAGACGAGAGAATGGATCGATGGATATCACAGAAGCTTGCGGAAGAGCTTCACGATACCGAAACTTAGATCCTTTGGATATACGCACCAAAAGAGACTAAGGATTTTGCTGGATATACGCACCAACAAGATGATCTTCTTAGAAAAGGTTTTTGATAAAAAGAAAGATAAGTTCTCATAAGAGATTACAAGAGAATATATAGAGGAGAAGGAGAGAAGAGAATGTAGAGAGACAAGTCTTGGAACAAGCTCCAAGGCTGCCTAGAAACTTAACAAAATATTAAAGATAGAATTTGAATAGAAAAGACCCTTTGGCTTCAAAGATGACCCTTGAACTTCTATTTTCGTCACTCCTCTTGACCAGCAAATTAAGCACTTGGTTTGGGCTCTTCTTGGGCTTGTAATGGCCATAAAATGGGCTGGACTCCATATATATTCCATGGGGCTGACTTATGAATATTATTCCATGGGCCGAATCAACAAATGGGTGATTTGAATGTGAATCATTTGCCTCATTAAAAACCTTGTCAAGAAAACCCATTGGGACAAAACTTGACAAGGGAAAAAGAGTACAAATGAGACACATGCCCATTTGATGATCATTTATCAAAACCAGTGAGGTTAAGATAACATCTTTTCCATACTCTTTCTCCGGTACGAGCTCACTTTCTGGTTCAAAATGCTCCTCAGGTTCAAGCGGCTCCTCTGCTTCAAGCTCCTCCTCGGCTACAAGCTCTTTATCACGTTCCATGTCCTTTGTGCTTTCCATGATCATATCATCTAACCCATCCTCAAGAACCCTAATCCACTACTCAAGAACACTGAAGAACATCATGCATAAAAACCCAGAAAATTGCATAAACCCAGAAATCATTAAAAAGCAAGTATGTTATAGATTAGAAGGAGATCTACAACTTTGATGAAGAAACGAAATTCAAAAACTCAAAGGATCAACAGGAAAAACGATTACAAAATCTAGGGTTTTTGAGAGAACAGTGGAATATCTGCTGGGTAAAAGGAATATCCGCTGGATAATAGGGTGAACCCCTATTTATAGGAAATACTAGGTTGCCCTAATTAGCTACAGGACAAAATAGAGAGTCGGCGGAGACCAACTCGACGTGACGTCGAGCCTGCCACGTCGAGTCCATGTGATTCTCAAAGGTGGCGCCTTGATGTCCAACTCGACGTGTCATCGAGTCCGTGTGGTCGAGTCTGCTCCCAGTCGGCTTCCTGGCGTCCTACTCGACGTGTCATCGAGCCATGACGTCGAGTCTGGTCCTGGGTGATCTTGAACGACTTCATTCCTCTCCAACTCGATCCTAAGTCTAGCTCCAAGGTCGTGTTGGTTCCTCCTTGCTCCATTAAGTCCCAAATAAGCTCCAAAGTACCTGAAACTCATCCAATATGCCACATGCTATGCCATGCAATGCAAATCGTACTAAGTGATGAAAATGTTATAAAAAGGACTCTGGATGCAATGAAAGAGTGATAAAACTTAGCTAAATGTACGAGAAAAGTGAGCTTAAAAGTGGTAAAATACAGAGACATCAACTCCCCCAAACTTAGCTCTTGCTTGCCCTCAAGCAAACAAATAGAACTAAGCTGGAGAAGAGGTTTGAAGGTGGAGACTCAGAACCAAAAACATGCATATAGAGTAAGTGAATTCAATGTCCAGGTTGCTAATTCTAGAATGCAAGGTTGACTGATCCCTACTTAAAAACATTAGCCATCTCCTTCACATCTCAACCTAACCTCTGCCTTAATCAATTCAAGCATTCAAATCAGCACATTCCCTTTAACATTGATTAAGTAGGAACCGTGAATCATACTATGCAATGGATATGAACACATTTGGCTTAAGGGTAGAGGCTTAGAGACAAAGATGGTCCCTTAAAGATCTGGTTTAAATCGCAACAGGGGATCTCTCAAGAATGATTGAGCTTTAGTAGAATGCTAAAGGTGAGTATCAAGTTATGCATACAAGGATAAGACCCCATCTACCCAGAATGTAATCAATATCAACTCAAATGGAGGTCCTATTTCTAATCCCAGAACATGAACCTAACTCTACCCTTTTGCACTCAAAGCATTTACAGACTTTTACTCACATCATTCCTTTCTTTTCTTTGCTTTTCTATCCTAGGAGAAGCTTTCTTACTTTGCTCTGTCTAGCGGATTAGGATTCTTTAACAACTAGGGTTCCCTTTTCTTTCTTCTCATAAACACAAGGCTTTTGCCCATTCTCTTTAAGCTATTTACAGAACCCCTTTTCTTTACTTTAGCACACCCAAATCCTTTACTAGACTTTTCTTACTTTAGCTACTTCTCCTAAGGACTCATTTCCCTTTTTCTTTTCTTTCAATGATGAACACAACCTTTTCTTTCTTTTAAACACAACCCAAACCCAGAATTAAGAACCCACCTAGTCCTATCTGGTCCAGATAACGTGAACCAGAACTACATGAGATACTATCCTTGTCGTTACAGACCTAACACTTTCTACCAAGCTCAATCGGAATAAGGCCTCACATTCACACACAAATGATAAATGGCTTGAAAGAAGGTTTAGGCTAAGGGTGGGGAATAACTGCTCCAAAGATGGGAGTCAGCTACTTGGACTAGCAAGAGTGATCAAAAGGTAAAAGAAAGTCCAAGTATTTTAAGGTATCCATGAGTTCATAGCACAATGCACATCATGATAATTATAAGTCAAAATTCAAGTTCAAATAGATAGGGAATGGCATCAGATCAAAGCGAGTTTCGACTAAAAACAAGAAAGTCAAGCGTTGAATTCAAAAGATGGTGCGGTCTTACTTCAAGTTCAGTCGATTATGCATTAGGGAACTAACAACCAGGGCACTGAGTTCTACTTAGTGAATAAGCATATTTACAAGGTTATAATCATCATAATCTCCAATGCAAGTGCATGATGCAACAGTCCTAAATGAAAGCATACTAAAACAGTCTTAAAATGGCAATGCGAACTACATGAACACTCTTCTTTTGTATTACAATTTCCGAAATTTTTCAAATTTTTTTTGGTTTTTCTATGCCTTAGATGATTATGCAATAAGAAAACAGAACACAACATCAAATACTTCCTGGACCCTCCCCCAAACTTAAATTACACAGTCCCTTGTGTAATAAAAATTCAGAAGAGAGCTCAAGAGAAACAAACAACGAAACAGAAAAGCAAACTAATGCAATGAAATAGTACAATGGTTTAGGGGGGTGAGTGATACTTTGGTTTTATGCGAAGTAGGTGTCGAGGAACTCATCCATGCTCTCCTGCGTGTAAGAAGGAGCTGTGCTTGACTCTGGAAGAGGCTGCTCGACGTCGATGTTGTCCTGCATGTAGGGAGGATCAGTTGGCTCTGGAGCAGGCTGCTCGACGTGCAGACTCGACGTGTCATCGAGCTCCCTGGTCGAGTCTGCCTCTGGACTTGGCCGCTGAACCTTCTGCTTGCTGCGATGCCTTTGCGAACGTTTGGGGAGTGGTGCAGACTCCTCTTGGCTTTCCCTCTGGCGCGGTTCAAAGGATGAATATCTGGGAGGATCAGCCTTTACCGCGTGTCTTGGAGCCATGCTTGAGGAACCGCTTCTTCTCAAAGTACCTCTCTCTTCTGATGATGATGGGGAATGCTTGGACTTCTTCTGGAGGTCTGTGATCTGAAGCGCCATCTTCTTCACCATGGTGGTCAATGAGTCTACCTTCTTTGACAATCCTCGCATTGCCTTCCCTTGAAACTTTCCCAACCCTTGCAGGAGTCCTATGCGCTTGTGAGCTTCTCTCTCGCTTTTGGTCTGCCTAGGAGCTTTGTATTCCTCGAAGAAGAACCGCTCTGGTGCATAATCATCAGGAGCGTCTTGGGTTTGCTCCTGGTCGTCCTCGTGCATTGCTTGAGGCGGTGGAGAGGCAGGGGCGACTTGTGAATCGTAGAGAATGAAGGATGGTGGGCAGAAGTCGATGTTCTCACCAGCCCTAATCGTGGTGTGATTCGTGCATGGTAGAAGCAGCCTAGAAGTTCCTTCTTCAGGGTGGTTGAATACATAGAGCAACACACCGTCAGGAGCTGTTTTATCAAGGTAGCCCTTCTTCCTTAGGTACGCCATATCGATCCAAGTTGGGGAAGCGTCTCCTGTTCCCACATATATACCCGCAAGCTACCAGAATTGGTGTCAGAATTCCGCCAATGGTCAAGCTTCCTTTGCGCCCTGACCTATGCATTGTTGCAGCATACTCCTTGTATCCCAATAAATGATCCAAGAACACGGCTATTAGAGGGGCATTTCCTCTATCTCCCACCATTTATGCTCCATCTCTAGTGTTTCTTAAGGTGAATAGGAGAGCTAAGTCCAGAAGCTGCAGTTCACCTTCACTCATGGTACCGGTGATCTTCTTTGCAAAGAACATGCTAGCAATGGACTGGTGTAGATACCTCACCACTGGGCTTCTAATAGAGGAACTCTTGCTTTTCGAAGGTATGTAATCTCCTGGTCCGGCGATCGTCTTCCAGAAGGCTTGGAGTTCGCGCTTATCGAAATTTTGCACCAATCCCTCTTTGCTCGGGAATCCATACAAGAGATTGAGCTCCCTGATCGTTAGTGAGTGGTCTCTTCCCTTGACAGAGAACGTGATGTATCCAAAACCTCTCTCATTCTCTTCTTCTTGTTCATCCGCGTAGAAGTGTACGTCGAGAGTAGCTAGGAGCTGGCAGGTCTCCTCTTGATATCCCTCGAAACTATACCCCAGGAAGGTTTTTAAACCGCACGTCTCAGCAAGGTAGTCCACATCTTCAGCAATTCCCAAAGCAGCCATCGTTTCTCGATGAGGATGTCTTGTGCCTTCGAAATCCATTGACTTGAGATAGCTATAGTACTCCTCAGGAGTAGGAGGCTTCTTCTTCTTTCTTGTCCTTTTGGCTGGCTTAGCAGGTTTGATTTCTTCCTCCATTTCAACAGCTTCTTCTTCTGGTGTGGGTTCTAAATCCGCTTCCACAACCCTCTTCCCGCGGCTTATCTCTCTTCTCCTTCTGGCCAGACGTTCAGCATCGTCATCTCTTGAACTCGAGGAGCCTCCTCGACGTCCCTCCTCGACGTGACGTCGAGTAGGTTTATACCCACCTTGATTCAGCACCAATTCTCTTTCTACACGATCGGGGCTATCTTCTCGCACAAACTGGCATGAACCGGTCCAAGCAGGGGCTGGATCCTCTCGTTGATAATAGCAAAACCACGTGCAGCATGTCTTGAAGAAACCCTCTTTCTTTCTTGATCACCATCCATGGTGTTTCCTTCAGCAAGAGTAGAGAAAAGAAAGCAAGTGAATCAAAAGAGCAGAGAATGAAGTTTAGAAGGAGAAGAAGTGAATTTTAAAACCGATTAAATGGTGTAAATCGAGTTTAAAACCAAAGATTAGGAAGTTGCAAAGCTTTAAAAGACTCAAAGCAAAGTTGAAATGAGAGAACTAGAGCTATAAGAGAGAAATGAGAGAATTTGAAGAAATGAGAGAATGAGAAGAGTGAGGAGTGTTTCTTCCCTTCTTAAAGGCGCCCAAGGAGACCAAAAGATAGGGTAGGAGCGTGTGGGGGCAGCAAATGTTGGATCTAGAATTCAAATTCGAATTGAATGGTTTTGGCGTTGATCTCGACAGTGGCTGTACTCGACGTGTGGGATCGAGCTTATGTCGGCCAAATTCAAATTTGAATTTTTGAAAATTCCTTGCGTGAACTCGAGGTGGTGGGCTCGACGTGGGGTCGAGTTGACTCATTGACCGGATTTGAATTTGAATTTTGGCTCCAAGGTTGACTTGTTGGAAGGTTGACTCGATTTAAAGGGGCTTGGTGGTGTTGGGCTTGGCTTAGCATTGAATTGGGCTTCGTTTAAGGCTTGGAGTTGGTTCATTGGGCTAGCTCGACTTGTAGTCGAGTAGGGTACATCGAGTCTGGCCTGTCTCTATTCCTTTGACTCCAATTCGATTAATTCCTGAAAATCACAGACACTACAAAAACACATTAAAAATAACAAGAGATAAAGAGCTATTTACAAAGATAAACATGGAATTCCTCCCAAGTGAGCTTGTTTAAAGTCACTAAGCTTGACTTTACTACTCTTTTAGGCGAGTTGAGGTTCCTGAAGATGAACTGTAGCTCCTTCAGGAATGACGCTATCCGCGAGATACTTCTTAAGCCTCTGACCATTCACCTTAAACTCTGACCCGTCCTTAGCAAATAGCGATACCGCACCAAATGGTAGAACTTCTTTGATAGTGAAAGGACCAGACCACCTTGATTTGAGCTTTCCCGGAAATAGCTTGAGTCTGGAGTTGAACAGTAACACTTGGTCTCCAGCCTTGAAGTCTTTTGGTGAAATCTTCTTGTCATGGAAAGCTTTTGTTCTTTCCTTGTACACCTTTGAACTCTCATAAGCTTCAAGCCTTATTTCCTCAAGTTCGTGCAGGTCAACCGATCTCTTCTCTTGAGCTTCTTTGATATCCAAGTTCAGCAACTTAGTAGCCCAGATTGCTTTGTACTCTACCTCAACTGGAAGATGACATGACTTCCCGTACAGCATCTGGAATGGAGTTCTTCCTATTGGTGTCTTGTAATGCAGTCCGGTATGCCCAAAGTGTATCATCTAACTTGGTAGACCAGTCTCTCTTTGAAACACCAACAACCCTGGCGAGTATGGCCTTGATCTGACGGTTGGATACTTCTACTTGCCCGCTAGTCTGAGGATGATAGGGAGTAGACTACCTTGTGTTTTACACCGTGCTTCTTTAACAGACTCTCAAAGACCTTGTTGATAAAATGAGAACCTCCATCACTGATCACAGCCTTAGGGATACCAAATCTGGGAATATGATGCTCTTAAACAGCTTTAAGACAACCTTATGATCATTAGTTGGAGATGCAATGGCCTCAACCCATTTGGAGACGTAGTCCACAGCAACTAGGATGTACTTATTACCATAGGAAGCAGGATTGAATGGTCCCATGAAATCAATTCCCCACACATCAAAGACTTCGACCTCTAGGATAGGGTTCTGCGGCATTTCATTCCTCCTGGTGATGTTTCCCATTCTCTGGCAGGGATCACATTTAGCAATGAATCCATATGCATCTTTAAACATGGAAGGCCACCAAAGGCCGGCTTGAAGAACCTTCTGTACTGTCTTGAAGGTAGCAAAGTGACCGCCATAAGCAGAACCATGACAGTGTTCCAGCACTCCTTGAACTTCCTCTTCAGCAATACACCTTCTAAATAGGCCATCAGTACCCTTCTTATACAAATAGGGTTCATCCCAGTAGTAGTGGTTGATGTCTCTAAAGAACTTCTTCTTCTGGTAAGCATCAAGGTATTTGGGATCTCTCCACAGATAAGATAATTCACAAGGTCAGCATACCATGGAAACTCTTCTTCCTTGACAGCACAAGCTTCTTCGAATTCCTTCTTGTTGTATACCAGTTTATAGCACTTGACAGCCAACAGCTGCTCTTCAGGCATTGAATCGTCTATCGGAGTAGCTTCTTCCATTCTCATTCTTGAAAGATGGTCAGCTGCACCATTCTCAATCCCTTTCTTGTCTACTATTTCCATATCAAATTCTTGCAGAAGCAGTATCCACCTTAACAGTCTCTTAGTGTCCTTCTTGGCATATATATGTCTCAGGGCAGCATGGTCTGTATAGACGTGACCTTTGATCCAACCAAATAGCTCCTGAACTTTCAAATGCAATACAACAGCTAGAAGTTCCTTCTCAGTCGTTGCATATCTTCCTTGGGCTTCATCCAACCGTCCTGCTGGCGTAGTATATAACATGAAGCTTCTTATCGATTCTCTGGCCTAACACAGCTCCCACAGCGTAATCTGAAGCGTCGCACATAATCTCGAAACGGATAATCCCAATTAGGAGCTTGAACAACAGGAGCAGTTACCAAGCTTCCTTGATGGTATGGAAGGCTTGAGGCAATCTTCATCAAATTCGAACTCAGCCTCCTTGCATAGAAGTCTTGTTAATGGTCTGGCTATCTTGGAGAAATCTTTAATAAACCTCCTGTATAACCCAGCGTGGCCAAGGAACTTCTGATGTCTTTGACTGTCTTTGGTGGCTGCAACTGCATCATCACTTCAATTTTACCCTTGTCACCATCTATGCCCTTCTCAGATATCTTATGACCCAGCACAATGCCTTCCCTGACCATAAAATGGCACTTCTCCCAATTGAGAACAAGATTAGTCTCTTCACACCTGGCCAACACCCTGCAAAGATTCAACAAACATGAGGAGAAGGAGGAGCCATAGACCGAAAAATCGTCCATGAAGACCTCCACCATCTCCTCGATCAAATCCGAGAATATAGAGGTCATACACCTCTGAAAAGTTGCAGGAGCATTGCATAAACCAAATGGCATTCTTTTATAGGCAAAAGTTCCATAGGGACATGTAAAAGTGGTTTTTTTCTTGATCATTAGGGTGAATCGGTATTTGAAAGAAACCACTATATCCGTCAAGAAAGCAATAATATGGATGATTAGCTAAGCGTTCTAGCATTTGATCAATGAATGGCAAAGGAAAGTGATCTTTTCTAGATGCAGCGTTTAGTTTCCTATAGTCAATACACATCCTATGTCCTTTATAGTCCTAGTAGGATTAATTCATCTTTTTCATTCTTTACTACAGTCATTCCACCTTTCTTAGGTACACAGTGAACATGAGAAACCCATGTACTATCAGAGATTGGATAAATAACATCAGCGTCAAGCAATTTAAGAATTTCCTTTTTCACTACTTCTTTCAAGTTAGGGTTTAACCTTCTCTGTGGTTCAATGCTAGAATAGGATTCGTTTTCAAGATGGATCCTATGATTGCATAAGCTAGGTGAAATTCCTTTTATATCAGACAATGAATAACCAATTGCTCTTCTATACTTTTTAAGTTCGACAACAGCAAGGTTCACTTCATCATCATTCAATGCAGCATAATGATCACAGGGTAAGTAGAGTTTGTTCCTAGAAATACGTACCTTAGCCCTTGCGGAAGTGGTTTGAGGTCTACCTTAGGTGCTTTGAGCTCAGACCAGTCATCTGAGGTAGGAGAAGGCCATCTCGACGTGTCGTCGAGCTTGCAGGTCGAGTCTGCTTCCTTGACTTCTTCAGGAATTGAAACTGGGAAGGCCTACTCGACGTGTCGTCGAGTAGGTAGGTCGAGTCTGGTCTGAACGTCTTCTTCCACTGTACTGACTTCTGCCACTGGCACCTCTAACTTCTCAAAGCATTCTGATGATTCTTCTTCTTTATGGGTATCTAGTAGCTTCTTATACCCTAATGTCTCTAAGTGTAAGAACCCCTCTTCTCCGTCTTTGGTAAGAGCACTCTGTAGGTAGTCTTCTTCAGTAAGCTCTTCAAGTAGTTCGTCAGCTAAACGATCCATTTCTTCTATGTAGAACACTTGTCCGTCAATGGTAGGTTTCTTCATCGTCTTAGTGATGTCGAATGTCATCTTGAAATCTTCACCGAGGTTTAAGTCGATCTTACCTCTTCTGACATCAATGAGAGCTCCAGCAGTAGCTAAGAAAGGTCTCCCTAGTATGAGAGGGTCCTTTGGATCTTCATCCATTTCTAAAACAACGAAGTCTGTAGGGATCTCTACCCTTCCTATTCTGACAGGTAGATCCTCTAACATACCATGAGGGACTCTTACGGATCTGTCGGCTAAGATTAGTTGGATTTGGCAAGACCTGTACTTGTTGAAACCGAGTCTTCTTGCTACTGAGAGTGGCATCAAACTGACTGATGCACCTAGATCACATAGGCATTTGTTGAAGAACAAAGGGCCTAGTGAACAGGGTAGAGTAAATGAGCCGGGATCCCCAAGCTTCTTCGGTATGATCTTCTTCTGTATGATAGCACTGCATTCATGGCTCAACACAACCATTCCTTGTACTTCCTGAATTCTCTCCATTATCATATCCTTCAAGTACTTGTGAGAATCCGGAATTAGCATGAAAGCATCAATGAGAGGCATCCTTAATTCAATCTCCTTAATGTGTCTAGCAAACATGGCTCTGTACTTCTCAATGATATCCTTCTTGAATCTTCCTGGAAATGGTATTTTGGGCTTGTAGGGCGGTGGAACAAAAGCTTTCTTCTTACCCTTATCAACAGTTGGTTTTTTCGATTTGGGGACTCTTAGCTTGATCCCTAGGTAAAGTATCCTGGTCAAGCTTAGTGGTGTCTTCTACTTGAGTTTCATTCTGAATAGAATCCTCCCCTTCTTGAATCTCACTGTCCTCAGTGACAGGAGCTTGGTTAGGTCGAGCACGCAGCTCTCGACCACTACGGAGTTGAATTGCATTAGCATACTCCCTTGGATTCTGAATAGCTTTCCCGGGTAGTTGTCCGGGATTTTTAGGGGCAG